GAGAGAGTGATATGAGAGGAACTTGGAGAGGTAACCAGAAGTCAGGTTTTTTTGGATGAAAGTAAGGACTTTGGATTTTCACTTAAATGTTAGGGGATTCACCATATGGTTTTGAGCCAGGGAGTGGAGTGATCTGATTTATGTCTCTAAAGCAGCGGTTCTGAACCTTCTGGCCCTTTAAATACAGTTCTCGTGTTGTGACCCCCAGTGCATATCAGATATTTACATTACGATTCATAACAGTAGCAAAATTACAGTTATGAAGTAGCAATGAAAATAATTTTATGGTTGGGTGTGACCACAACATGAGGAACTGTACTAAAGGGTCTCGGCATTAGGAAGGTTGAGAACCACTGCTCTAAAGGATCACTTTGGCTGCTGTGTGGATAACTGATTTTAGAAAGGGGCTAGAGTGGAAGGTCAGAGCCCAATTAGGAGGAGTTGCTGTAGGCCAAGTGCAAAATGAGAATGGCTTGGACTTCAGCTGGTTCTGATCAAGGTGTAAGAAGTGGCTAGATTCAGTAAACATTTTGAAGGAAGATCTAGAAAGAGGATGGTACACGCAGAGGAAATAGCGTGTGCGAAGACCTTGAAGGGGAACAAAATATTAGGAATCTTGCTTTTTTTATTCCATTTAATGCCTATATATATTTTTTTAGCCTAATTTGTTGTGCTTGCCTTATACTTGAGCTACTAAAGGCTAGGGTTTAGAGGACTCAGCAACATAGCATACACTTAGATGTTTAGTTAAAAAAAAAAAGGAGGGGGGTCAAAGACTAGAAAAAACAGTAAGAGGAAAAAACATCCTCCTCAGATTTATGGGTCCCTTCTTGGCTTACAGACTCTTTTGTGAGAACCACAGCAGCTTGCCTGAAAAGACAAAGTGCCTTCCCTCCATCAAACAGATAGTGGCAGAATCCAGATTGCTTGTCCACAGAGCCTTTAAAATATGCTCATGTCCAGGCTCTACATTTACATCAGAATCTCTGGAGATGTGCCTAGGCCTTGGGTTTTTGGGGTTTTTTTCCCCTCTCTTTTAATTTCCCAGGTGGTTCTAATGTGCAGACAGGGCTGAGAACCTCTGTGTGGGCTATAGTGTGCTCCATCCTCTGTGAAAAGGATTTGAAAGAACAAATCTAAGGAGGACATAGTATTTATTTCTCTAGTCTTTAGACATTCTCCTTAGAAGAGACTGTAGGCCTGGATGTCTGAAAGATTTCATTTGTTCCTTTTAAATTTTCAGATCTTCCTTACTGTCACAGCTGACCTGAACTGTAATCTGTTCTCTAAAGAGCAGAGGGAACACATAACCACTCTTTGCCCCAATGTCAGAAAAATGGAGGGCTATGATGGAATTGAGAAGGTGTGTGGTGACTTCAGAGATATTGAAAAAATACATGGCTTCTTGAGTGAGCAACTCCTAAAAAGTGAGCAGAAACAGGAATCAGCCCCTTTGACAACAGAGAGGGAGCCACTCCATCAGCAGGACCAGAACAGCTGTGTTTCTCCCTCTGAACCAAGAACGAAGTCAGAAGAAAAAAGCAGAGGTTACACAGTTCCCTTGCCTTTATTTGAATACTTCAAAAATATCTACCCTGAAAAAATAAACTCGATAGAGAAAAGATTTGGTGTAAAAATAAAAAGCCAGGAGAGTTCTCCGAATATGGTCTCTTTATACTTCACCTCAAGTCAATCAGGTGACCTCAGAGCAGCCGAAGAGACTTTTGTCAGTGAATTTCAGAAAAGCATAGGAAATATGGAGCAGGAATGTGTTGCATTAGCAGACAAGAAGCAGGCAAATAAAGTCAATCAGGGATTTTATCACCAACTTAAAAAGCTTTTTGTAAAGGAGAACGAAGGAGAATTACCTCTCCATGGGACCCAAGATGACATTTCAGCTGCTGGACATTTTCTTGCCCCCCAAATCTCTGAAAGTCTTGTCAAGGTACCTGTGAAAATATTGCCTCCTACGTGCATGATGAATGGAATTGAGGTTGACATGGCTCACTATACGTTTTTAGAAGCTGAATTACTCCAAAGAGAAATCCAGTGAGGATCATGAAACACCCATGGACGTTGATAGTAATGATTCAGAAACATTTTTACCAACATCCCAGCACTCTGCCAGTTCTGGGGCATCAGGAATGAACAAGGAAGAGGATATGTGTGTCATCTGTATGGAGCCCATTAATAACAAGTTAGTGCTACAAAAGTGCAAGCACAAATTCTGCACCCCTTGTATCACCGAAGCCATGACATATAAGCCAGTCTGTCCTGTGTGCCAGACTGGTGTAGACTTTGTGCCAAATCAAGGATCAATTACTTTTATTGGATTGCCAAATCACATCGCAAAGGCAAAACAATATGTCTTAAAAACAGGGGGGATGTCCCCATTAGCTGGAGAGAAATCCAGTGAGGATCATGAAACACCCATGGACGTTGATAGTAATGATTCACAAACATTTTTACCAACATCCGAGCGCTCTGCCAGTTCTGGGGCATCAGGAATGAACAAGGAAGAGGATATGTGTGCCATCTGTATGGAGCCCATTAATAACAAGCTAGTGCTACCAAAGTGCAAGCACGAATTCTGCACCCCTTGTATCAAGAAAGCCATGACATATAAGTCAACCTGTCCTGTATGCCAGGCCGTTTATGGTGTCCAGAAAGGGAACCAGCCAGAGGGAACGATGTCTGTCAATTACATTAGAGATTCACTTCCAGGTTATGAAAACTGATTAATTACAATATGAGAGGAGGCATACAAACAGTAAGTGTTTCTGAGATCCCTCTGTTTCTTTCCAGTGTGCTAGGATGACCAATGCAAAAGAGACTGCTGTTGCCAATTAGTGGATTTCCCAGGGACTTATTTCTATGGTCATATTTCTAAGGCTTTAAGTAGTGATGAAGTTAACAGTGTTAGCTTAGAACTTACCTTTTGTGTCTGTTAAGGGAGAGGAAGGGTGGGTGGTGATTATGGGTTAGGGTGGATGGTATTCCCAGCATGAATTTAGGGAAAGAGGAAAAATATGAATGTCTGTCAATTACATTAGAGATTCACTTCCAGGTTATGAAAACTATGGCTCCATCGTGATTAAATATGATATGAGAGGAGGCATACAAACAGTAAGTGTTTCTGAGATCCCTGTGTTTCTTTCCAGTGTGCTAGGATTACCAATGCAAAAGAATACTGTTGCCAATTAGTGGATTTCCCAGGGACTTACTTCTATGGTCATATTTCTAAGGCTTTAAGTAATGATGAAGTTAACAGTGTTAGCTTAGAACTTACCTTTTGTGTCTGTTAAGGGAGAGGAAGGGTGGGTGGTGATTATGGGTTAGGGTGGATGGTATTCCCAGCATGAATTTAGGGAAAGAGGAAAAATATGAATTATTGGGAATATGAGCAAAATTTCTATACTTTTTTTTATTTACTCTATCTGCAGATGAACACATCTATCCTGTACAGTAAAATTTAGACTCGTGAGTGTTTTCATGTGACATTGTTTTGTCTTCACACAGGAAGAGCACCCAAACCCAGGAAAGCCATATTCTGGAACAAAGCGAACTGCATTCTTGCCTAATAACAAGGAAGGAAATGAGGTTTTGACACTGCTTAACAGTGTTAGCTTAGAACTTACCTTTTGTGTCTATTAAGGGAGAGGAAGGGTGGGTGGTGATTATGTGTTAGGGTGGATGGTATTCCCAGCATGAATTTAGGGAAAGAGGAGAAATATGAATTATTGGGAATATGAGCAAAATTTCTATACTTTTTTTGTTTTTTTATTTACTCTATCTGCAAATGAACACATCTATCTTGTACAGTAAAATTTAGACTCGAGAGTGTTTTCATGTGACATTGTTTTGTTTTCACACAGAAAGAGCACCCAAACCCAGGAATGCCATATTCTGGAACACAGCGAACTGCATTCTTACCTGCTAACGAGGAAGGGAAGGAGGTTTTGACACTGCTTCAAAAGGCCTTTGCCCAAAAGCTAATTTTCACAGTGGGGGATTCTCGAGTTTCAGGAATGTCAGACGTCACTACATGGAATGATATCCACCACAAAACCTCCATGATCGGGGGACCAGAAATGTGAGAACATTTTGAAATACAATGATTGCCAAACAGAGTTTAGAGGTTGTAAGCTATGGCAATTTGAGGATATGGCTGTAAGGGACTATTTATAGAAGTGGGATTGGGTACAGCATTTTGAGAGAGGTTAATCTCAAAGGCAGAAAGATTGGTTCCCATCACCTTCTAACTGTATGATACCACAAAGTATCATACATCGAAAGGCAAGGGTCTTCAGAACCCAAGATTAGTGATATCTCAGATGACTTGATTTTAGGTTTCCTGTTTATTTGAAGGGTAGATCCTAGGAATGTTATTTACTTTGCCTTCTTTTAAGATCATCCTTAACCCCCTCCTCCCATCGGTCCATAGAGATTCTTAATTTACTTGGCCAATAGTACCCTAGAAAAACTCTTATTTAATGTTGTGAAAGTTGTATTGTAGGCAACCCATATTTATAGAAGTGGGATTGGATACAGTATTTTGAGAGAGGTTAATCTCAAAGGCAGAAAGATTGGTTCCCATCACCTTCTAACTGTATGATACCACAAAGTATCATACATCGAAAGGCAAGGGTCTTCAGAATCCAAGATCAATGATATCTCAGATGACTTGATTTGAGGTTTCCTGTTTATTTGAAGGGTAGATCCTAAGATTGTTATTTACTTTGCCTTCTTTTAAGATCATCCTTACACCCCCTCCTCCCATCGGTCCATAGAGATTCTTAATTTACTTGGCTAATAGTACCCTAGAAATGCTCTTATTTAATGTTGTGAAAATTGTATTGTAGGCAACCCAATTGTTCTTAGTGAAATTCAGATAGAATATCTCAGATCCTTAATATTCAAAAGGGTCCTGAGATTTTTGCAAATTCTCCAAATTTGAAAATCCTCCAGTAGCATATATACCATATATATATATATACATATACATACATACATATATATATACATATACATAACATATATATTAAATATCAAAAATATAAGTCTTTGTTTTACTGTGGTTGCAAATATCAAAAAATTTCTGTATGTGACACGGCACCAGAGTTAAGTTAGGGTTTTTCAAAATGCTGACACGCTGAGCTCAAAAGGTTCGCCATCACTGACCTAGACAGACAGCTAGGCTCACTCACTAGCTGAATGACTCACATCTGCACACTTACAAGTGATTATAATTCATCTGCCTCCAGGATTGCTTGTTAATGTTTGCAACACAATGTTAATGCCAGGGACCTGCTATACAGAATCTTTAAATCCATGTGTGAAACTAAGGGGCTTTTCCTTTTGCAGGTATGGTTATCCTGATCCTAATTATCTGAAACGCGTCAAGCAGGAGCTGAAAGATAAAGGAATTGAGTAAGAAGACTGCTGGAAGGATATTTTGAGCCAAGCGTTCCAAAGACACAGTTGAAAAGGCAGAGTAAATACCAATCTAAATCTTAATGTAGAAACAACCTTTAAAAATACTCATCTCAAGGGGATTCACGTAAGAGTAAGAATCTGATAGTCTGTCATTTCTGGAGTGTCACTTTTTATAGAAGATAAAAGCCCCAAAGATCTATGTGATTTTTGCTGCAGAGGTGTTGTGCCTCATTCTTGTGTCATTGTTGGGGGGAATGGAGTGCTGTGGGTCTGAAATCATATTCTGTGCTCTTCAGTTGAAATACTAGCTGCCAGTTGATCCTTTTTAAATTACCATCTCTGGGTGGTCCTTTAGTTTTTGATTGTTGGTTGGTTGGCTAGCCCTTTAAGTACCCTAAAGGTAATATCCTAGTGTGAATGGGGGAGGGGAGAAGCTTTGGTTAAAGAAAATTAAGACACATTTCCCTCCCTGATGGCCAGAAAAGTGGCCAGGAGCAAAGATTGGGCAACCTTTGCTAATAAATAGTATAAGGCTATTATTTTTCATGACATAGAGCCTGGTATATACAGTTGGTGCATAATGTATTTTTGCTGCCTGACTCAGGATGCTAATACCCCAGCAGAGGGATATATGCTCCCGAAGTCTTTAGCAGAGGCAGGAGTAAGGAAGTCCTTTCTGGAGTCCTTACCACTGATTTGAAAACTGAGTTCCACTCCCCTGCCAGCCTGATCGACACCTAACTGCTCCCCTGCTGGCCCAATTGCCCCCAACTGCCCTCCCCTGCCGACTTGGTCACCCCCAACTGCCCTTCCCTGCCGACCTAGTCGCCCCTAACTGCCCTCCCCTGCTGGTCTGGTCGCCCTCGACTGCCTTCCCCTGCTGGCCATCTTGTGGCGCCCATCTTGTGATGACACGGGGGTGGCCATCTTGTGTGAGGGTTTGATGGTCAATTTGCATATTATCTCTTTATTATATAGGATGATACAGAGCCTGGTATATACAGTTGGTGGATAATATATTCTTGTTGCCTGACTCAGGATGCTAATACCCCAGCAGAGGGATATATGCTCCCGAAGTCTTTAGCAGAGGCAGGAGTAAGGAAGTCCTTTCTGGAGTCCTTACCACTGATTTGAAAACTGAGTTTCTTATTTCGTTACCCACATCCCAGCCTCTCTCTGAAAATGATGAACAAGATGTCTTTTTCTTTTCCTAAAGATACACATACACACACATATATTTTTGGTCAGAGGGTAATAGTTAATATTTATTGTGGACTTATTTTGTCCCCTTTATAAGATCTTTATATCTGTGTGATTGATACTATTAGTATCCCTATTTTATAACTGAGAAAACTAATGAAAAGAAAGGATACCTTGACAAAGGTTACATAGTTAATACGTAGAAGTGCTGGCATTTGAAGGAGATAGTCTGGTGGTAAGGCTTCTACACCCCAGAGCTATACTGCCTCCCATAGGGGGACTTCTCCATGGAGTGACTGAGGGGTTCCTGTTATTTTAGGTTTCTCTCAAAAATATATTCCTACATGTTGCTCACAGCACATTTCCTCCAAAGAAGTCCTATTTGAAGAACTTAAAAACCCAGAATCTTTTCCTTTATCTTCCTTGGTTGCGGGCACATCCCCAGTGGGGGGTGTGCAGGAGGCAGCTGATCGATGTTTCTCTCCCATCAATGTTTCTGACTCTCTGTCCCTCTCCCTTCCTATCTGTAAAAAATCAATAAAATATATTAAAAAAAACAAAACATTCCTACACGTTGCTCATAGCACATTTCCTCCAAAGAAGTCCTGTTTGAAGAACTTAAAAACCCAGAATCTTTTCCTTTATCTTGAGAGTTGAGGAAGATTAAACTAAATGATAGGCCTTTAAAAATATTAGATGATGCATTTAATTTTTGATTATTCATTAAAGTCTTCACCATTGTGAGTAGTTATTTTGTATCTATTAAACCTTTAGCTAAATTTGCTTCAAAAAACCAAAAGTTTGGTTCCTGCTTAGGTCTAGATTCTTGATTACAATGCAGTGTGTGCATAGGCAGTTTAATGGTGTGAGTGGTTGGTGAGCCTTTAGATTGTTGCGTTTGCTCTGTGTGAGGTATTGGCTGTATCTGCTTTAAATAAAGTTAAATATTAGGAACAGATGGTCTGTGTTCTTTCCCTACTCCTTTTTTCTTTTTCCTTAGGTTGAAATTCTGGTGGTTTCCTACAACACATACAGTGTACAACAAAACTACTTTTGACTCCATTGCTGTCATTTTCAGCTGTGAAAAATCACATTTCTTAATATTTTTCCTCCTTAACACAGAGTAATACAAAGGTAAGAGTAGGCTGCAGTTTCATCTCTTCTCTCCTTCCCATGACCCCACCCCTTAGATTCAACTAATTTACTAGAGTAACTCCCAGAATTCAGGAAACCAATTTACTCCCTAGATTATCTGTGCATTACAAAAGGATAAAACTCAGAAATGACTGACCAGATGGAAGAGATGCACAGGGCAAAGCATGTAGGAAAGAGGATGGCGCTTCCCTGCCATCTGAACTACAAAGACATGGTTGATTAAATCATCAACCATTGGTGATTCACCTTCATTTCCAGCTCTTCTCTCCTCCCCAGATGTCAGGGAGTGGGACTGAAAGTTCCAACCCTCTAATCATGTGGTTGGCTCCTCTGGTAACCAGACCCTATTTTTAGTCGCCTTGATGGGGAGCATAAGACATTTTTGGGGGCTAGCAATCTGAATTTGTTCAGTAACCTGCCTTCTACTGCACACTCTTGGTAGCCGATAATTAACTCCATTTGTGAAAGAATGTAGGAGACTAGCAGCCGGACTCTGTACCTAGTTAATCAGTATCCCTAATGCACATTCCTGATAGCCTATAATGAAGTCACTGCCCCATCCTTAATTATCTGGTCTTGCAAGACCTATTTACCTAAATACTTCCAATTTACAAGGATGTTAACAGGTTACATAAACCAAGGATGTAACAGCTTAACTAGAGGGAGGTCACTGGTGCCATCCAGGATGGACATTAGATACAATCTTAGTTAACCATCTAACTGACTGGAGGGGGGCTGTGCGAGTCCACTACAGAAGCTTGGTAGTTAGGAAACAAGAGACGCAGAAATATATAAGGAGAAAATCTCATTGTCTAAGTGGTTCAGGATCTGGATTTTTAAGTCCCCTGAACTGGCAGCGCGGCTTTGAATAAAGGTTTACTTTCCTGAACCTCCAAGTGTACAACTGTCCCTTCTTCCGAGCCAATTCCATAACAACCTCATTATAACTGTGAAGGCTAACCCCTATTTTGTAAAACAACTGTTTGGAATTCTCTGCTATTCTTTAGACGGCCTCTTACTCTAAAAAAATAACTTTGCTTTCTGGCCTGATTTGCCTGCTTGAATAATGAGGGAGATAAACTTAGCTGTCTGACCTTGTAGGCCAGA